GAGGGGATGTTGGGGAATAAGTTGGAGACGTGGGTGAATAAATTGGAGACGTAGGCGAGTAGTGTTGAGCTGTGGCCGTAGGAGAATATCTTGGCGATGTCGGTGTGTAGTTGGGTGATGTCGGCGAGTAACTCGGCGATGTCGGTGAGTAATTGGGCGAAGTGGGTGAATACTTGGGGGATGTCGGCGTATAATTCGGGGATGTCGGTGTATAGCTCGGAGATGTGGGCGAATAGCTCGGAGAATTTGGGGAGTACGAAGGACTGGTTGGAGAATAAGTAGGACTGGTCGCCTGCCTATAGTTAGAAGGAGTTGCACTGGCCATGCTGCTACCAATGCCATAACTCGCCTGTGGACTTGTCGGGGAATAGGATGGGCTTGTGGGACTATAGGCGGGACTCTGGGGTGTGAAAGCGGGGGCCGGAGAATGTGCGAAAGGTGCCGCGGAAGGTGAGCTTGGGGAATACTGAGGTGAAGATGGGCCGTAAGCGGGGCTGCTCGAGTTGTAAGGACTTGACCAAGGATAATTTTGTCCGACCGTGATTGCTTTCGATCCTGTGGGTTCGAGCACCGGTGAAAATGCGGGAGAGGTAGGCGCATAATATTGAGGAGACTTGCTTCCGTATGAAGGAGACATCATGTACGCGGGAGTGTGACTTCCAATCGTAAATGGTGTCATTGGTACGTGCGAAGGAGTCATGCTCCCCAATGTACGACGAGTTTCAAAAATCATCGCCTTATTTTGTCCTTCTATAGGAGGTGCGGTGGTTTTAAGCATCTCTTGATCAAGATATATGTCAAATTCGCCGGTACCCAACGGTGCAACTTGACCGAGCATTATATTTTCCGCCACACCTTTACAATCATCGGTCTCTCCGGCAGCCGCTGCTTCCATAAGAATTTCAACCGTCTCTTCGAAAGAGCATCTCATTAATGCACCGGTCTCTGCGCGATTAATTCCGTGTCGGGTGATGGCCATCAGGTGACCACGAGACGTCATCACATCACACAAAAGTGCTAAATGACGATAATTAACGTAGGAACCGTCGAACTCTATCACGCCACGAAGTTCCTTCAACAGAGCAGCTCTCGTCGCCTCAATTCCTAGTACTTCCATAATTTCAACGCAATTGTTGGAATAGGTACGCCTGTGATCTACATTGTCCACGTTAAGCACTTCCAACAGGTTCGTACCATCGGTCTCAAGTATCCACTCATTCCCCTTAATAATTTTTCCAGACTCATCAACGGAAATACGCGTTTTCTGACTGTCGGTTAAGTATACACGTTTTATATTCTTGATACCACTAAGACCGATATTTGAAAGCATATTATTTTCAACGCGTTTCAGAAATACGTCCTCTTCGATTCTATTTCCAACTTCGTCGGTTTGGTCCTTGCTGGATTCAATCTTAATGCGACAACGTATGACTTTGTTTTCAGCGTTGTCGTCGCTCCATATTGCCTGTATGTCGGCCGAGAAATTTTCCTGTATTTTGTTTCCAACAGTGTCCATGTGTAACTTCTTATCAAGCATCGCCATCTCGTTAAGTTCAAATCGCAAAACCCAAGGGGATTGGTATCCACCGTTGGACATTTCGTCACCTTCCATCTGATAATATAACTCCACGAATTCCCTGTCTGCCTCTATATCCGAGCTATAAATTTTCGGATCATACCATATTTCCGTACGTTGTGTTACAGTTCTTAATGTGGTGTATTCGATTGTACTTTGAATTTCCTTAGCACTGTTCATATCGCTAGCGCACTCCTCCACCAAGTAGATGTGAACGGATGGTGTCTTAATATTTTTAGCGACATTGATAATTTCCTTAAGACGAGGTACACCAAGGGTGACGTTTTTACTGGACACACCAGCATAGTGAAAGGTGTTCAGAGTCATCTGCGTCGCAGGTTCTCCGATAGATTGTGCAGCAATGGTCCCAACCATTTCACCGGGAGAAACGAGCGCCTTTCGGAATCTCGCCTCAACTTCCCCCAATACCCACTTCAATGCTTGAGAGTTAAGATGAAATTCCTCGATTACCCGCCGACTCGCCAACCACGATCTCAGCAAAATTTTGAATAACATGGTAGCATTGGATTGTGCCTCAATGCTGATCTGGTCACTGCCTTTGACCACCTCCAATTTAGTGATCACCTCCTCAACACCATTTATGACATCTATGAACTGTAGATCGCTGGTCGTCCGGCGCGAAAGTCTGATGTTGAATTTTTGTTGAGCATTCTTTATGAGACGCTTGAGGTTGACCGGTAACGGCCATTTACTATCGCCTTCCGTGAAAATATCCTGTTGTAACATTCTACGATCAATACTCAATTGATTATACTCCTCAACAATCTTTTCCTTGACCAAGTCTTGTGCTGTCTTTGGTTTCTTGGGTTCCGCAACTTCATCCTCTTTCTGCTCATTATCACTTTCCTTGTCCTTCACATCCTCCCTGGTGACCTCAATGAGGTACTTATTGTCAAATTCCTCATTGGTCATTGTCAAAGATTCAAATATTTGGGGTTCAACAAAACACGCGTCCATTCCATCCTCTCCATAACAGAATTGGACGATGTCACCTAGAGAATTACGAACTGTCCCATCGTATTTAACCATCACGTCCTCCAAAGCTTTTACCAGACGACGCTGAATGTAACCGGTCTCAGCGGTTTTTACGGCCGTATCGATTAAACCTGGTTAGATTAACGCATAATTAATCTATGAAATATTCGTTTCGTAAATATCACCGATTCTTAATTACCTTCTCGACCACCCATTGCGTGGAAAAAAAATTCCTGTGGTGTCAACCCGCGAAGATACGAATTCTCGACAAAACCACGACTCTCGGGACTATGATCATCCTTTGTGAAATGCGGCAAGGTGCGGAATTTGAATCCAAAAGGAATGCGCTTTCCTTCCACGTTCTGTTGGCCGACGCAAGCCGTCATTTGCGATATGTTGATGAAGGAGCCCTTTGAACCAGCGATTACCATCTGTTTGACATTGTTATCTTCCCTTAAACTTTTCTCGGCACTTCGACCGGCAGCATCGCGAGCGGTATTAAGTGCTTTGTTTACTTGATTCTCGAATGTTTCACGAATTGTCATACCGGGTGAACATTCTAGATTGCCTTGCTGCGCCTTAACAATAATTTCCGCTACATTAATCTTTGCATTACTGATCGTCTGTGTTATCGACTCCATCGTGTCCTTGTCAGCGATAGTATCCCCTATGCCAATGCTAAATCCGTTCTGTAACAACCATTGATTAACTACTGCCTGACATCCATTCAAAAAGTCCTTTGCTTTCTCGGGTCCTAACTCTTGCATTATGACGTGCACTAAACCTTGTTGTGACGTGCCAACAGTTTTTTTACACACGATACCACAAAGTAATTCACCATCCTCTATCAAAACCTTAGTGTCACCGGGAGAGATATCTGAGCGCTCATTATCAGGGTGAGTCGAATGCCTGAGATTGTCCGAATTTATGCCCTTTGGAATAATCATACTTAAAATTTGTTTACCCGTCCATAGGGGAATTGGTTTTAAGATGCAAGGTATCGGAAGACGACCGTCCCAATCTGCAACCCACATTAAAATGTTCATTACCAGATCCTTGGATAAAAAACAATCACGTTTTGTGAATTTCCGAACGGCACATAGGGTATCTTGGACAATACCCATGACAGGTTTGTTTGATTGGGGGGACACAATTTGTTTTGGAACCATACAGATTTCCGAAATCTCGGCTTTTGTTTCCACCGATTGTGGAATATGCATGTTCATTTCATCACCATCAAAATCTGCGTTATAAGGAGTTGTGACGGATAAATTAAGTCGGAAAGTTGAATAGGGCATCACGCGAACCCTATGGCCCATCATCGACATCTTATGTAATGATGGTTGACGATTAAATATGACGATGTCCCCATTGTAAAGATGACGTTCAACTTTCCAGCCGTACTGTAGTCGCAATCCTCCGCTCATGCCAGAAATATGTTTAAGGTCAATCCGCTCACCGGTATCTCTAATAACATATTTGGCCCCTGGGTACTCGGTAGGACCGTTCTCCACTAACTTCTGAAGGTGGTCAATGTTGAAAGGAGTAACCAGTTCTGGGAAGGTCAAATTTTGAGCTATACTTCTTGGAACTCCGACCTCATCGACAGAGATATTTGGATCACCGGTAATAACTGTGCGAGCGGAAAAGTCCACGCGTTTTCCCATCAGATTTCCACGTAGACGTCCTTCCTTACCCTTGAGACGCGCTCGTATTGACTTCAAAGGTCTGCCCGATTTCTGAAGAGCTTGAGGTTGGCCTGCCATTTCATTGTCCATATACGTGGCGCAATGAAACTTTTGCACGTGATAATCAATTAAGTTTTAAGTAAAACCTTATGATTTAATGCTCAATGCAAAGTGGATCTCAATCACCAACGAACCTGTAATAAGGTTTCAAACTCGTTGACAACGTGAGCAGGGTGTCCTTCGGCTTCATACCGTTTCACGTTTTGATTGGCTTTCAGGATATCCGCCAGCTTATGGGTCAAATCGTCTTCTCCCCGACCTGTCCCATCCATTAGTATACTAGGACGTACGGGCGGTGGAGGGACTGGAAGTATAGTTATAATCATCCAGTCCGGTCTAGCGTATTCGGCATTCAATCCCATATCGCGAAGATCTTGAGGGCCAATCTTTTTGAAAATGAGGTGCACCTCGCCTGGAGTTAGAACTTTCCTTGTGTCCTGGGCCGACTGATCCTAAATTATTATGCGAGATTATGAGTGAGTACTAGTAATAACAATAACAATAATAGCCTGTGGTGTATACTTGAATGAACTTTATTTACCTCATCTTTACTTTTGTAATTCACGTATAGCTTCAAGCCTTCCCTACGGATGGTAGGTTGTTTATGACCACAACCTCCGTGAGGTTTCTTTTTTCTAATCAGACCTAGTTCTTCGTCCGTTTTTTTTATCCGACTGTTTCTGGGTAGCAGTGTGAACATAATCCTCGTAATCAGAGCCTCTATCGATATCCTGTTCCAGGTCTTCGCCACGCTCGCAAATCATTTTACCCTTACAAATGTCCCAGACAGCTGTGAGTCGACGTTTTGGATCACGAATCTTGCGCGCTTGAACAAATTTTGCATTAGACTAAATGAAGATGGACAAGACATTTTTGTATCATTGATAAAAAAAAAATTAATTTTGTTTATTAATATAGACAAATTATTTACAAAAAGGAATAATATTTATCTAAATTCGTCATAAAGTTGAAAAGATAACTCACATCATCTGTTTTCAACTTTGAACAATTTACGCAGATACACTCGAGAATCTTTTTTACTTTGGGTAAAAACCCTGTATTATGAATCGGAACATTTGTGAGATAATTGGTCGTGTAAAGACACTACTACATAACGAAGGTGTTTTCTCTTGAAGAAAGATGTAAAAGCAAAGGTTACCTACCTACGTGAAAAACGGGCTTGCACAGTTCAATGTGACCAAAGTGACCAGGGCACTCGGACATTCCTTCTCCACATGTCTGACACTTGAAGTTTCTATCTATTGTACCCATGCGAGGATCTAGCAAACCTCCCTGTTTGGGTCGGTGGCCATTTTCATCCATGGTTTCAGGATGTTCAATTTGAGCGACCGACATTTGTTTCTGTTATTTCAATAAGCATAGAAGAGAGTCAAATATGTTCTATTCCTTTATTCCTAGCACTTGACTAGCAAGCGAGAAACTTATAAACTTGCAAAGAAGTAAACGTACTATTTCTTCTGGTGATAATATCCCAAACTGTACATATTTAATTCGCCGAAGCGGCGCGGACGAGTACGAAAACTGATGTCCATTCATATTGACTTTTGATCTTTGCCAAGTATTTGTAAGATACTGTAAGACCGGTCAAATAATGGGGAGAAACGACCAGAAGAAAATTTAGTTTTTTCGCGACTTCCCAGAGAAATGTGTAGAAAGAAAAGATGCGTTCTGGGAAGAGATGAAAACTTGTAACAATTATTGTTGCTTGAATACTTCATGTTATATACTGATTGTTGATAAAATGACTATAATTCATTTGAATTTTCTGATTAGTAACATAAGTAACATAAGTATGTAATCTAAGATATAGTATAAATAAAAATGGGGGTGAATTTTACATACGCCAAGATGCATTGTGCGATTTAGAGTCACATGAACTGCATGCTAAAAATGGCAACTAAGGGTCAGGGCTTCAAGAAGTATATAAAGGGCAGCCATTTTTTCTTCCCAAAAAACGGCCGACCAACGTTGACCTGACGACTTTTAACATGTAAAGACCCTTTTTTTTTTCTATCAGATAACCCAACTTTTTTTTTTCATCGGACCAATATATTTTTTTTCTTTTTTCCTTTGACACTTCATATAGTCTATATATATATATAGACTTCAACCGCACCTCTTAACTCTTAATCTTGGTCTCTTTTTCATCCAAAAATGTGAATAGGGCGCAACAAGCTATACACCAGACCAGAAAACTCCGGTTGCAGCAGCAATAGAACACAAAACTTAAAAAAGATAACGGGGTGCATGCAAATATGTCATCTGATCTTTTTGGAGAATTCCATTCGTGCTTATTTGCTACGCATTCTTACTAATCAAAATCGAATTGTGAGTCTGTTGACTGTTTGTCCAATTGTACGGTGTGTGGGCACATGATCTACCGGGAAATCATTATTTCATGTTAAAAATAAAATTTTTTTAAGAAATAAACTTGTCACGTTTATTAGTATATCTGTATATTTTATTTAATAAAAATAATTTCGATTAAAAAGAAAAATTTGGGAAATTTGCTAAATTTCTATTATTCAATGGTTTTTTTTTTTTTTTTTAAAAAAAAAAAAGAGAAAAAAATTATAGGATTATTTACATTATGTTCTTCGGGAGAACTTGTAAAATGTATATTCACTGCGGTTAATTGATTTTTTTTTTTTTCTTATTTAAAAAAAAAAAAAAAAAAAAAAAAAAAAAAACCTAAATAACGCTGTATTCGTTAACGAGATAAGTATTTTCTGTTCGTTTTCTTCGTTTGACAAACCTCCGATCATCGGTCCGGCAAAAGACGACGGAACACCACCTCGCACATATTTTCGTAGTAAGCTCGTCATCCACTGTGCGCTTTTGCGTATTTCTTCTGAAGTCGCATCAGATTTATGGAATGCGTTCCCTTGAGATGGTTCATATCCTATTGTCGGTCTGTCATCCGAAATTACAGTCCCGTGACTTTTTCGGTTATCGGAAGACAATGCTGAGGTTTTAGGCAATGCGGTGTTTGGCGGATCGATAATCATTACATCGGGAGTAGACTTACTCTGAACATTATTATTATTAGTCGTTTGCTTCTTGTTATGCTGCTGTGTCTCCTGTTCTGTGGACGACTGACGACGCTTCTTACCGGTAGTGGAATTGTTGGGTTCATTGCGCATCCTCTGACTTGGAAGTACCAAATCGGACGGACCTATACGCGGCCCAGGGAAGTCAATGTTTGGAGGATACTGAGGTGGTGGACGTATTGTAGTATTGAAATTCACGCTGACATCTATTCCTCTTCTTCGACTGTCAACGAAATCGAAATATTTGCGGAAATGTTGATGCAGGTGATCGACAGTATCTAGGCTTAGAAGAAATTTTCCCGGCATAGCATTAATCTGATCTTCTATCATATATTTCATTCCCAACAATCGAAATGTGCCCGGGCTTGATTTTGTATAATGCCAGAAGTATGGTAGGACCTTATCGACATTTTTGTACATTGGCTCCAACTCCCGCAATTTCTCCCTGATTTTTAATTTATCCTCGTTGCTGAGATCATGGATCTCATGGTATTGGATTTTCTTTTCATGAGCTTTTTTATCAATTTCCTTTATTACAGCCAGCGCCTCTGCTTCCTCCTTTGGAGTTAATGTCGCATATTGTCCAGAGGTCGAAGACGCGCCATTGCTCATAGTAACATCGCCAGGACGCATGACAGGGATGTTTGGACGAACCATAACCCCAGTCCTTTGACCATTTAACAATACATTTCCCTGACCCAAAAGTGCAGCGTTAGATGCTGCCATTCCGGGAACGAGCATCACCGTTGCAGCCGTGACATCATTCGGCATCATTACAGGGCGCACAACTTGATTTCCCGATGGCATAGCTGAAATCGAGGATGAATTCGGAATCGTGCCGATGCTTACAGGTGTGGAGCTTTTGGCTGTTACGTTAGCATGTTGAACCGCCGGACTTGTAAGCTGTTTGCCCTGGCTATTTTGAGGAATTTTGACAGGTGAGACTTTAGATGAAAGATTATTGGGTAAATTTGGAGATTGGTTATTTGCGACTCCGCTCCTAGGCGGCATTATGAGTACGGAAGGTCCTGGATTCTGAGACGGCGATACTTGTGTTTTTAATGTATTTATCGGTGATTGAATGATCTGGCTAGGAGACAACTTAGTGTTTGTTGTAACCTGCTGACCAGCCCTGATTCTGAATTGAGATTCGGCCGACATTGCAGCCATATCCTGCGGCATGTTTTGTTGAACTTGTGGATGAGTTCTGAGGTAAGCATTGACTTTCTTGGCGATATCATCTGACATTTGAGCTTCGGGAGAAATTGTCAAAAACGGGGATAATACATTACTGGGAGCTGTCCGGAATGTGCCGCCTTGTTGATTAGGTTTAGGAGATTGAGATTGTATTTGCGTATTAGGGCGCATAAAACCATTCGCTTGCGCAACTGCAATTTGTTGGGGATTCTGTGACATTTGCAATTGCTGTGATTGTTGTCGCAACTGCATCTTGCGAATATTATCTTGCTGAATAAGCTTTTGATGAAGTGCAGGGTTCGCTTGTAACATCCGAAATATTTGTTGCTGTTGTTGTTGACGCGCACTCTGTTGCTGCAATGGAATCTGTTGCTGTGAAATTAATTGTAATAATTGCTGTTGCTGTTGTTGCTGCTGAGGTGACTGTAATAATTGCATCTGTTGTTGGAGAAGCCTTTGATAATGCTGCTGCTGCTGCTGCTGTTGTTGTTGTTGCTGTTGTTGTTGTTGTTGCTGCTGTTGTTGTTGTTGTTGTTGTGGGGAAGGGATCGTTGGCTGTTGTGGTTGTCGTGGTGGTTGTTGGAGGACTTGGTGGAGTTGTTGAGGGACCTGTTGCTGCTGTTGAACGGCTTGTTGCTGTTGGGCAGCCTGCTGCGAGAGATTCCGCGATATTTTCTGTGAACCAGAATTTTGTATTATACCCGTAATTTCTCTCAACTTTATTCCTATGGTAGTATTATAATCGTCTCTGGTATTTGCAGTATTATAGGCTTCATTTTCCCATTTTTTAGACAATTGAAATCTCTGTGTAGCATCCACGCTACTCTGATTAAGCAATTCTAAGCCCTTAAAAAGCCTACCAACATTAACTTTTCTGTCTTCCTCGCTAAGAAGAAGCCGCCAGTCTGTAGGAGCAGCTGCAAGTGTATTATTAGGAAAGTAAGACATTTGCAATAGTAAAAAAATTTTTTAAACAGTAAAGAATCTAACGCTTCTTTTTTGTACTTCAGGGTAGACAATAAAATTCAATATAATAATGTTTCAAATAAGAATTATATCTGAGACCACGTCTTAGTTTTGTGAACAATAAAGGCAGGATGTTGTATAAAAATAATATGATTGGGTAATTTCCGCCTTATCACCTGTCTAAAACCAAATTGGAAACAAGAGACACATAGTATGCAGATCACATAATGAGAACGCCAAAAATCAAGGAAAATTGTTCCTTGAAAGTAAATTATTAAATTTATTAATCAATCTTATTTTTTATTTATATTATATATGTACAGGCCAATAGAGAGGGTGCTTTAATATTATAGATGCGATATATTGTTTGTCTCAATGAACTTTAAAAAAATGGTAGTATTAAAATTTGTCAAATTTTTTTTATATATAAGATATTATAAAGATAATAAAGATAGCTTATATATAAAATTATATATATGAATAAATATTTTAATAATATTTTTAAAAATATATAAATACAATTACTTTTAAAAGTTTTTGATCTACTTAATATGTTTTTATTATAAATTTTAGCTTATCAATTTTTAAATCCTTAATGATAAAGTTTTATTATTATTAAAAATTTTTTTCTTTATTTAAATTTTGCTTTTAAATGATTTTAATTATAAATGATATCATAACTAATAAAATAAATAAATTTTTTAACAATAATAAAACTTTAAAAATTTTTATAAAAATTTTTTTAAAAAAATAAAATAAATGTTAAAGCATAATATATATAAATTTTATAATTTATAATTGTATAATTAAAAATTTAAAAATTGACAAAATTGAAATTTATAATAAAAATATAATAAATAAATTAAAACTTTTAAAAACAATTACAAAAATTGATTTTTTAATAAATAATTATTGGTTTTATGTATAATAAAAAAAAAATTTTATAAATTAAAAAAAAATTTTTTTTAATCCTTTGTTAGATAGTTATATGTATTTTATTAAATATTTATAGGTTATATACAGTATATTTTAATGTATCATTAAAACCAATTTTTTAATTAATTTATTTATTATAATTTAATTAATTTTAAGTGTAATTTTAAAAGTAATTTATTGTTTTATTAATTCCTTTTAACTATTAATATCATTATCTATAGATTATTACTACAGATTAATTTATTAAGTTTTAATAAAATTTAAAATCTAATCATTTTATATCATGCTTAATTTTATTTATTATAATCATTATAAAGTCTTTTTTCTTTATTTTCTCTTCTTTAATCTTCTTATACTTTTTTTTTATTTTGTTTTTTCATATCAAATAATTATTCAGATTCTTGAGTTTGTTTTTTTTTATTAATTTTTTGAACCTATTTCTATTTATTATTTTTTTATATTATATATTATATATATTTTTTTTAAAAGTGATTATAAACTTTTTTTTTACATTTTTAATATTTACCTTATTATTTATGAGCTAATCTTTTTCCTATAATAATTTAATTTCATTATTTCTGTTATTAGATTATATCATGTTAAATCAATATAGAAATTGAATATATTTTGACTTTTTTTAAAAACTATTCTATTATATAGTTTATTTATTTGTCAAGTTTTTCAATTTCTTCTTTATTACTTATTGTTAATTGAATATTATCTTTTTTTACTTTATTTTGTTTTTATTTTTAAAATCTATATGACCTATTTTTCTTCTTTTCTTTTATATTTCTAACAATATTTTTTTATAAAATAAATATTTCATTAAATATTTTATTATTTCTTCATATTTTTATATATTATATATTTGTTCTGCTTATATAGAGCCGATCTCCTTGCTATTAATCTTGTTAAAGTCATTAATTTATTATTGATTATTTTAATAAAAAACTCTTTTTCTAAAAATATATCTTATATTAATTCTGATTTTAATCTTTTTTATATCAGATTCTATGAGTAAACTTGTTGATTATTATTTATTTTCTTAATAAACTATTTGATAAAACTATCCAAAATAATATCTTGCTATTTTATTTTTATTCTAACTTTGATAAAATTTATAAATTAATAAAATTAACAAAATTAAATTAAATTTATTTAAATATATATTTTTTTTCATTAAATAAGTATATAATTTTTTAAAAATAATTTCAATTATATATTTATAGATATTAAGTAACTTTATTTTCAATTAATTCTAAAAAAATTAATTAATTTTAATAAAGATTAATTTTGATTAAATTACTAATTTTGTTGATTAATTGCAATTAATTCTAATAAAGTTTTGATCTGAATTAACCTTCTTGAAATGCGTTTTATAACTAATCCTAAATAATAATATATACCGATATACAGACATGTTCTATATTTTAAGATTAAATTAATAGTTAAAGTTAAAATGATAAATAAATAATATAATTTATATTTCAATATAGTTCAATCATATATTTGCTTAATACTACTGTATTTATATATACATTAGGAAAAAAATTACCATTACAAATCAATATAATGTATTCGTTATCTATGCATGACAACTATTCTATTTCATTTTGCTTTACACGTAATAATAAAGTAAATAATAATATTAGTTTATCAACAGTGTGGTACTCAAGTAAAACTAATGAATAGAAAGTAATGTACAAAAGTTTGTATGCTCATTCAAAACATATTTTCAATCTTCAAAGAATATATAGTTCCTGACAAGGTATAATAAAACGTAAATACAAAACCGATAAAGTCCTAACATTTTATATGAACTCGATCATAAATTGGATTATTAACTTATTGAAATATTGTCTCTTCATGCTTTCTCTTCGAGACGTACGTTCCCGGTTTAGCCATTGCACTGGGGTGTGATGCCAACTCAGGGGGAACGCGTGATATAGGAGACTTCAAAATCATTTGTTTTAAATCGTACCTAATTTAAGATTACATTAGCATAGGCGAAATCTTAAAATTCTCGTAATATTAATTCAAAACTTACATGATATCAGCATCCGCATTAGATAAAAATGATATCGCGACACCAGACTGACCGGCACGCCCAGTGCGACCAATACGGTGAGTATAATCTAAATAAAAACAAACAGTTAGGTAATTTATTTAGAACGAAATAAAAGACAATAAACACGATACCTTCAATATTTTTCGCCATATCATAATTAATTACCAAAGATACATTTTTGACATCTATACCACGACCAGCAACATCAGTAGCCACTATACAAACGCAGTCGAAGTTAGCAAAACAATCTATGAAATTCAGTTCAATAAAAAATTAATTCACATACCTAGTATATCCATGGTGCCATTCTTTAAGTGCGCCAAGGCATTCTCTCTTTAAATTGAAACGGACACATTACTACTTGATTTATTATTTCTCTGTATATAATATATTTACGACTAACCTCTGTTCCTGTGTCTTACCACCATGGAGAGTCGTTGCACGGTACTGCGTAATGTATTATTATTAATATATATTTAATTGAATGTTTCAAATTTTGCACATATCATACCCCAAGTTTGTTTAGAGCCCGAGCCAAGACATCACAACCTTTCTTTTGATTAACAAAAATAATGATCGGCGGATCAAAGGATTCCTGGAGAAGTTCTAACAGACGTGCCCTAAATATAAAATAATAAATTAATTATTAATTATTCAATATAAAAGTCATAAGGAGAAATTTTTTACAAACTTCTTTCGGCTTTCATCATTAATCATTTCCACTCGTTGTTCCACAGTATCTACAGCCTGACCGGCGGTGCCTATTGTGACAACTGCTGGTCGTCGTAAATATCTGAAATTTAATTATGATTAGATCGAGTGTTTAAATAATATCTATGGTACTAACGACGCACCTTTTTGCCAATCTTTCAACTGCAGCAGGCATCGTTGCAGAAAACATGACAGTTTGTCTATAGCGTTCTTTTTGCCCAATCTTCTTCAACATTTCAGCGGGGTTTTCGGCCTCTTCAGTATCAGGCTTTACATTAGATACTGGTAATGCGTCCAAAATCAAATTAACATCTGTTTCGAACCCCATATCTATCATACGGTCGGCCTATGAGACAAAGATAATTTAGATAAATTTTATATGACAGTGTACATTACGGGAATTATTTTAGTACAAACCTCGTCCATAACTACATATGTACATTGATTAAGAACCAGAATTCTTCGGTCTAAGCAGTCCTTCAAACGGCCAGGGGTAGCAATAATAATCTCTGCTCCATTCCTTAAATTAAAAGCTTGTTCTTCAACGGCATGCTAAACAAAAAAGATTCATCGTGTGAAAAAAAAAACCAAATATATAGAAATATTAAACTCCAAATAAAGATAGTACTCTTACCCCACCAACAATTGATACACAATTAAATCCCATAGGTGCAGCAAATTTTAAAGTTTCCTGTTCAATTTGCTGAGCCAATTCTCGGGTCGGTGCTAAAATAAGAGCGTAAGGTCCGTCCGACATATTTTCTTCACATAATTTCGGTAAATCGGATATGTAAACAAGCATCGGTATTACAAATGATGCAGTTTTACCACTACCTGGTGGCGAATAAACAATAAGTGATAGCCAATAGAATAAATCAATCAGATCAAACGCTCACCAGTTTCAGCAATACCAATGATATCCCTATTTTGTAACCCTATAGGTATTGCTTGACGTTGTATGGGCGTCGGTTCTTTATAATCGATGCTTTCAATTAACTTGAGAATACGTTCAGGCAATCCAGATTCTACCCACGACCTTATAGGGTTAGGAATACTGCCACCTATGTAATTTGAATGTTGTTAAATAAATTACACCGGAAAAGTCCTTGTTAATTCGTGAAAAAAAAAAAAAAACCTTTTGTAGTAATATTAAAATCTTCCTTGAAAATACGCCAATCTCTCTCTTTCATTTCCGATAAAGGTTTTTCTGACCAATGGCGATCGTCCCACATGCTCTTTAACTCTTTCTTTCTGTCGATTTCCATTCTTTCTCTAATTTATATAAATCCATAAGTAATCCATAAGTATACAATATCTAGAATTGTTAAAAATCAAGAAAACTAATATATTTACTCAGCACGATCCTTTTGGTCTAAAGTTCTCCTTTCTTCTAAAAGTTGATTATAAAATTGTGCGCGATCACGTTTTTGTTCCTTAATGTCAATTCCTGCAAAGTGTCCGCGTCCGAACATCTGTGCATTATGTTTTGTCGCGTACAACGGATTGAAATCTTGAGACGTATCTTCTCCGGCATCCCAATCGAAGACAAATTTTTTTTCGTTCATTTTACGTATTTTACGCTTTTTGCGCTCTCCGCCCATATAACGCTCCTAAAAATAATTTAATTACACGTGACATTATGCTTAATCAAATATTGAAATTTCCTTTTACGAATACTAGACTTACTCTAATTGCTTGTAATTCTTTATCATCTAGCTTTTCCCCTTCGTTGGCTTCCGATTTATCAGTTGAACGCTTATCCACATTGTCACGATCCCTTCCTCTTGGCCTCTCATATCGTTCAAATCTATCACGATCATACCGATCATAATAATCTCTACGATCACGACCATAACCTGTAAAAGAAGTCAGTCTACTAGATAATGTCGTGTGTGCTACACCTAGAATACCGATTACCATTTTGTCGGGCTTCTTCCATTGCCTTTCTTTGAAATTCCTCTTGCTGGCGTCTCTCTTCTTCTTGTTTTTGTCTTCTCTCTTCAGCCTCTTTTTGGCGTTTTTCCAACGCAAGTTTTTCTCTTTCCTCTTTTGACAAAAACTTGGGCTACGAATGAATTTTAAGATGTAAAATCGAAAGAAATGAAATGAATGCTGTAGTAGCACGAAACAGAGAATAGACAAACCCTATCATTAGCTTGCTTTTCTGTTTCGTGTTTTTGCATCAACTCCTCAAGAGAAATTGGTACTTTTTGTTTAGTTGTTTTGTTCATTTCTTTTCTCGCTTCATTCTCGAGAACTGGCTTATCTTGATACGGCGTTTTCTGTTGTGTTTCGCTTTCAATTTCACGACCTTCACTCGCAGTTTTATCATAGCCTGGAGAATTCCGGCGTTGTTCGTTGTAATCGGTACTTCTACGGCCGTCTCTGTCGTAATCTCGTCCATGGCGGTGACGGTGGTAGCTCTCTTCGCGTCGGCGATCACTAGATCGGTGCCTTCGAGAACTTGAAGAAGCAGCGGGATACGACCTGAAACAAAACTAGAGAATGTTATCGCAAAAGCAAGATTATAAGTGAATTCGATTTATATACCTTCGAGATCTTTCTGTCACCATAGTAAACGAGTATGATTATATATTGGCGAAATTACTACACAGATCATTTAATATGCATGTGCCAATTCAATTATATAAAAAATCGGGCAGAATTACCAGGATATCGGCTCGACTAGATTTTTGTGATATTGAACACACAGTCGCTTCAAAAAGTAAGGCCCGATTTTGAAATTGGGATAAAAAATCTATGCTATCAAGTTTTTTATTTTATTTTTGTACGTTACTTCCTCCCTCTGCTTGTAACACGGCGATTCGTCATGATTAAGAATAGAGGTATCAAAGCAATTTTTAGGTTACTTACAGTATTGTTTCTAATAGTTTCCAGATATTCTCTAAGGAATTTTTTTTGAGACAAGATACTCAAGCTTTATTGAGGTTATTATGAGTACTTTTTTTTTTTTTTGCCCTCTGTAGGCTAGTTACATATGCTTTATTAAACATTTGTAAACTGTACATATAATATGAGATGTTAAAGCTAATTTTTTAACTAACTCACTTGTCTTGGTTGTTTTACCTTTCTAAGTGTAACTTTGGGAATAATTTATTGCTCCATTAGGAGTTCAGGTAAATACCTTTCCAACTTCTAATATCATTGCCTGCAGATTACTACTGCAGATCACTCTTTTGAGTTCTGACAGAGATTAAAACCCAACCATTTCATCCCATACTTTACCCCATCTCTTATGACCTGTTTGAGCATCACATTTTCTGATTCTTCTTCTTTTAATGATACTTGATATGACTGATTTCCTGGTACCTTGGTCCTATTTTTTTGCTTCTGTAGATATGTTGGTATTCTGATCTTATTACCTCTGTTGATTTCTAATGTCCGTTCCCACTCTATCATCTTTTCACATCTGATATTCCAAATTTTCTTTCTGAAATGGTTACGTGTTTTCTTCTGCATCTCCATTATCCATTTTCTTGCTTCTTTACCGATTCTCTTTCCATAGTACTTTGAGTCTGCTATCTCATTCATTAGGTCTTTTCAATCAGTCCCATACAGAAGCTAAGTATATTCTGACCAGTGTTTGAGATTCTTTCCACTAGTTGGACTATTTTTTTATCCATTTTTCCTCTTTCCATTCTGTTATCAACTGCCAGACTTATCTCTTTTTCTTCTGACTCCTTTTTCCTATCTACCAGCAGTTTGTTAAAACCTTGCATCATATCTTCCATACCTTTCTGCCAGGTTTCTTGCCACTGAGTTCTATATGTTGGACATTCTAGCAAGTGTTCTATTGTCTCTTTATGCTGTCCACATGCGAAACATCTTACTTGCTTATATAAGTCTGGTTTTCTTGTGACTAGCTTTGTTAACGTGGGTAGCTCGTCACTAATCATCTTAACAAGAAAGCTTTTTCTTTGTGATCCTTTGAAAGAGGTATTCCATGTATGCCCATTGTTCATTTGTTCTCAAACTAGGTCCCATGTATGCCTGTGCTGGTCTTGGATTTGATGACCCCATTTTTTATCTATTCTATTTTGAGTTGTCCATTGGTGTATCATTATTTTGGCATTAGTTTTTTTAACAAACTGTCTTATTGGAGCATCTAGTACTATATCTTGCTATTTGATTACACTAATAATCTTAGATGAGTCCAGATCTTGTCATTCTATTGTTGGAAACTTTAACGCTTCTTTGACTAAAATATCTGCTTTCTTATTTTATTGAATGTTGGAATGTGCTTTAACCTTGATAAGATTTAGATCTAATTCTTTTTTCTTTACCAGGCTCAACATTCATGCCTACAAGAAGCAATTTTGTTCCTTTAGCCATCTTTTGTAGGTTTTTTTGGAATCCTCCTTTTCTATAGTTTTCCATTTGGAGATGCAGGTTTGACTGTTAGTGTGGATCTTGACCTTGCTATTAATTGATATTATTAGTAATATGATGATTATCGTTACTAGTTCTGCTCTTGTGGATGAAGACCAATCAGCTACCCCTGCTTGAAACTTGCTTTCTCTTCCTGTTTCTCCAATTTGTATCCATGCTGCACTCATCTTCATATTTTCATTTCCATGATCGACAAGAGATCCATCTAAGTAAAAGGTCATTGGTTTATTACTACTGTTCCCCTTGTTATGCTTGAGAATTTTGATCAGATGGGTTTAATATGTGTCTTCTTTAATATTTTCTTTAATGAGCTTCTTTTCCTAGTTCTCTATCTCTACTTCTTCTAGTTGCCTTCTATTACATTGTGTAGTTATTGAGTCTATATAAATTGTTCTACTTATTGATCCCTCTAGAGCTACCTTTGAACAAAGAATTTCTAAAAGTTGAGCTCTTCTTGTAGATTTCCTAGTATTAATATAAGGGACCATATATATTTGTTCTATATTTGCTTCTACTATACATCAGTTTTCAGTCATGATCTCTTCTGAGCAGCCTTGGCATTGCATCAGATCTGATCCTAAGTTTTTCTTGGAGCTGTCACATTTGAAATGATCTATTTTAATGTATCTTTTGTTGTTA